AAAATTGATCTCTTTACTGCAAAAGTACGTACTAGTAGCGAAATTAAAAGAAAAATTGATCAATCATATTCTAATATCTTTGCAGAATACAATATCCCACTTGAGGATGAATTGAATAATTGAAAAGATGGCATAAAATTTGGAGGGTGGGTTGACTTAGAATTCCATAATGAGACAGAAGTGATAGCAATATAACAGAGATTTTCTTCCAAGAGGAGGAAAGAGAGGAATACCTTACCTTTCCTAAGTTGACTCTTTATTCATTGAATATTTACTTGACACCAGTTACCATTAATATTACTAAACTATGCATCTGATGAACTTGTTCAAGAGGCTCAAGAATGCAAACGTTGTTTACGTGAGTTGGCGTACTCCAGCTTCCAGTCCTGATACATCGTGTCCATAATTGACTTTATGATATTTGGTTGTCACCAGTCAACATTAATAATAGTAAACTATGCATTTGATGAACCTGTCCAGGAGGCTGAAGAATGCAAAAGTTGTTTACGTGAGTGGGCTCTCGCTTCCTGCCCAGATCCATCGCGTCCATATTTGACTAATGACGCTCCCTCTCTCTCAGATGTCTTGGGGGGACGGAGCCTCGCGCTTTATGATGCGTCGACGCACGTTGCACTTGCAGATGGCCGCATCAAATATTGAAGCTCTCAGATATGAAAGCGCCCCGCCCCCTCCCCGGCGGCGCCTCATCGCAAATGCATAGCTCCCGGCAGGCGCGCGCTCTTCCCCTTTCGCCTCCTCACCTGGGCTGCCTGCGCCGCGGCCCCGCTCACTTGTCACGCTCTTCGCTTTAAATCCGACCACCGCCTCTCGAGATGGCGCTGTCCCGTCGCGTCACGCACGCCGCTCGCTTTGCACCGTCAAGTCTGGCTCAGAGCGGAAGCTTCCGCGGCCGGAGTCAGTAGCTGTTTGGCTGTGCACGTGCGCGCGCACCCACCCATACACACACACACGCACACCCACCCACCCACACACACACACACACACACATATATATATATATATATATATATATATATATATATATATATTGTAACCACCCCAGAGAGAGCCTCATCTCCAGCCGCAATAGTTGGCAAACCACGGCGTAGACACTAGTTCATGAGCGTTTGCTCCTAACTGTGTGCCTACGTCGTCGCTTACAATACGCATTTATACTATGAACACGATTTATTATCCATTAAAACTCGAGAAGAAACTTATAACTCATTCAATTTACATGCATTTATTTCCACTAAATTTGTGTGCTCAGGCAGAAAAGCAAGCCTGATTCGTCACGTAAAATATGTCGTCATTGAATTGAATTTTACAATTTCAGGGCTCATACGAACAAGAAGCTATCCCACATTTTTTTGTAAAATTGAGTTGTTAGAATTATACATTTTATGTTATTCTTGTGATATTTTAAGTGTAATATGTTGTTTAAATCCAGTATTGACTTATATGCAAGTGTACTGTGTTTAAACGTTTAAAAATGCACTGCGTCATGTGGGATGTTCAGGTAAAAACTCATTATCTCAGAGCTATGGCTGTGTGGGATAGCTCATTGTTCTACCGAGCCCTTTAATTGTTTTGGGCGCCGCGGGGCGCCCCTGCGCAGCCGGTGGATGCAACCCGCCAGACGCCGTGCGCGGAGGCTGCGAAGGACGCCAGAGGGCGGGGCTGTCTTCTCAGTCAGTCGTTCTGCATCGGTCGGAGAAAGTTGATTATTGCGTTTGGAAGGAAGTCGGGCCGAAGGCGTCTCCCTCTCTTTCTCCACCCTCAAAGCTTCCGTTCCAAATTTTGGACTTCCAGCCAGCTGATCCACTTAAGAAGAAAAAGCGGCTTTTGTGAGAATAATTCTTTCGCGTCTGGATCAACAAACGAGACGAGAAAGAGAGGAGAGGAGAGCCAGAAATGAAGAAACCATACACAGCAGAAGTGGAAGAGTAGCAATTGAAAATATAAACAAGTTTGGAATGCGTGTGTCTGTGATAAAAAGAGAGAGGGGAGTAAGTCAAAGACGAAGCTGGGGCGGGAGGTTGCGGAGCTGGAGGGGGCGGGGCACCTCAGCGCCATTTGCGTTGCTGCCTTTGATGCCTACAGTGGCTCTGCCAGAAAGGCTGCCTTATTGCCTCTGACGAAGCGCAGAATTCTGGAACATTCAAAAAAGTTTTGTCATTTCTATCAAGGTGGTTAGTTACGGCGTGGAAAAGTTGGATGACAGCGAAATTTTTTATAACAAAGTATTACGCGGAAGGTTGGAATTCATGGAACATCCACTTAAATAAAAACATTGCTTGTTTTCTCATCTCTCTCGGGCCAAAGGGCCTCGGGCGTTTTATCGCCGCTTCATAACCAGATATCTCCCGTGGTACATTTTTTACATAATTTTAATAATTCAGATTTATTTATTTACCAATTAGCTAAAGTTAACTTCATCTTTTCATATTTCCCTGCCATTATTCCCTTTCAAAATCCCCTCCATTAGATAAAATGTAGCATCATTCAACTGTTTTCATATTTCCCTCGTAGCAAAATTCTCTCGAGCCAGGGAAGGTACGCTGTGTGTAACGAGCTCTGTATCGAAAGCAATAATAAGCACATAACGTATCAGGAAAAAATAAAGAATTGTAATCGTGCGCAGGAAATCGGCGATGTTTCGACAGTAAACCTCTCATTGACGGGCCCTGATAACGGAAAGATGGATAAATCTTGTTTCTATATGTAGTAAATTACTTTCGCTAACGTTTTGTAGTCATAATCCATATTTTGTGGCCTCTTGATACCGAAAAGTCGATTAACATATGTCTGTCTGTTTCTGGTCTCCGCTGGCGCCTGAACCATTCAGACGATTTGCTCCAAAATTATTTTTGCAATTTGTAATCGATCTGAACGAACTCAAAGTCCGGCGAGTTTTTAAAGACACTTCTTTATTTTTTTGGTATGCTTTACACGAAGTGTCAACATTTTAAACATTTTCTAAAATAGTTATATTTTTTGTTTACATTCTTCCTCAGGACAGAGAAAACGACGTTTAGCTTAGGTCGTACATACGTTGAAATGTAAATTTTCAAAAATTATGGAAGTTGACATTTTTTCGGCGATTTCGTACAAGTAGTGTTGAAGATTAAAATTTTTCCTTAAGGAACTCAGTTAAGAAAAACAGATCATAAAATATTATAAAAACAATTTTTCGTAAAAATTAGTAATTTTGGCGTATTTTGCGTAAAATATGCAATTTTTTCTCTTCAATACTCACTTTTCTGAACGGTTTGAAAAGAATGAAAAAATGAACTCGTGGAAGGGGCATTATCAACGTGTAGAACTAGTGACGTTTTGGTAGGTTAGGTGGCAGGTCGATAACCCACAACTTCACCGCAATTCTCTTAGGCCGCCTTGCAATGCTCCGGGGATGGGGCAGGGAGGCAGGAAGGCGTACTTGCGGTTTTGATTGATTGATTAGTGTTTCCGGGCGCGGACGCTAAGGTCATTAGACCCGTAAGTGTAGTGCTTTTTTCATTACGGAAGGTGGCGACACTCGTTCCAGCTGGTTGGCGAGATCCGGCGCCGACTTACGTGGGCTAGCGGGGATTTTTCTCCAACCAGGTATCTCCCACCAGCAGGACACCGCCCCAGCCGGAACAAGCTGTACGCTCTCGACTGGTCTCCCGGCATGTGTGGTAGGGTAATGCAGGTTAATGTGTGTGTGTGTGTGTGTTAAGGTGTGAGGATAGGGCAAGGAAAGGGAAGGAAAGATCGCGCGCGGTTCGTGATGAGTTTGTTAGTATACTGCTCCGGCATTTGCTTGGTGTTGATCGGAGAAACCAAGAAAAACTACCGGTCAGAGCAGACGGCCGCTAGTATTCTCCTCCAGCAAGCCAGAATTCGACCTATTATCCGTTGACACTGAGAAAAAAACTGATGTAAACAAACTGAAGAAAGATTTGCGCCGCACTACGCTTCAGATTGGACACCACCTTCGATGACGCGAATTCAAACAGAATATCTTGTCTTGCAAACCTCTTGTTCGAGTAACTACTTTACTTACGATCAGTCTGCTTCAGGAAGTGGTTGTCATTAACCGGATGCCATTTATTTATATAAATTGTTTGGCATAAAATTCGGGGAGGTATTAATTTCAATTCACAAGCTACAACAATTTCACAAGCGTTGGTGTTTCATTTCTTTTGCCCGTTTTGATGGAAGAAATGTAGTTTTGATCGAGCAAGTGACTACAACGTCATAGTGTGCTTCAATCACAGTTTCCTTTCTTTCCGTCTCTGGCGATTATAGTTGTCCCTTTCCAGTGAGCTATTTCAGGAGTAAAAATACGCTATATATGGATATTTTAGTGACACTGCGATTTGCTTCATTGGTAACGACGTATTCATATGCAATAACGAATTGAAAACGGTCAGAACGATGCGTTTTTCGCTACTCCGAAGAAATTTTCCACACTTGTGTTTAATTATTGAAGGACCAGCCACATTCTGAGGCATTCTAAAACGAACTGAATACACAGCAGGACCTTGCAGGGCGATTGGTGGCGAGTCGCCGCGGTCCCACGAGCGTCGTCCCACGCGCCTAATCCGCGTCGATCAGCTCATTCAAGATCTGAACTGTTGGAATTTCGTAATCTCATCGCAATGCAACACGCAGTCAGTTCACATTGGCCTCCTTTCTCGAAACCGTTGCAATAGTTTTGACGCAAGGTTAATTTAACGAACGAGGAAGATAAATTAGTTCTTGTAGAGAGCACTAATTACTTTAGCGTGAGTAATTCCTACGACAGCAGAGCTCACACTGCACACCAATGAGATTCCTCCTAATACACGTGCATTTGTTTACATGAGTTAATAACTGAGAAGGTAGTGTCGGAAGTCCTCGACCCCTAGCGCGAGGCCCTGCCGTGGGCTGCTTGGGCTGAGTGGGTACCGCGCGCGTTGCGCAGGGGGAGTGAAGGAGTTCTCGCTGGAGCTGGCGGCGCTGCCGGCGGCCGGATGCTGTGGGCGTGGACGGGTGCGCGCCGAGCCGGCCGTCTTCCGAGGCCGGCCTTCACGTGTCGGGCCGCGCGGCACGCGCCGGCGGCAGCCGGCGCTGGTGCGCCGCGCGGCCGGGCGGCACGGGGCGGGCCGCGGCGGCCGGCCGGCCGGGGCGCGGTGCGGCGGTGCCCGCGCCGCCGGGGACGACGCCGCGGAGAGGTGGGCCATGGCCGAGGACACTTCGTGAGCTGCGCTTCGGGCCCGACATGCGCCGCTCTCTACAAGCCCGGCCTGCCCTTCGTCGACGCCGTGAGTCTCCCCACGGACACCGCAACCCCACAGGCCCTACAGGCCGGTTCAACTATTAGACAAAACATGTGCATTTATACACCACTACATTCCGAGTTCATATGCAGTCATACCAATTAATACTTTACTCTTAGTGCTGGCGGTGGTGACCTGCCTAGTTTTTTCTAATCAACAACTTTATCCTCTTTGGCATAATGTTTACCAACTATTCACCGGAGTTTTTTTTAATTTTATCGTCGCGGTACTAAGTGTCCTCTAGTTTGTCCATGACGTCTTGTATATTTCTTTATGTGCCTCTTGGAAACACCCCAGAAATCTTCTACATCATAACAAGTCGGAGCTATTCCGTGGCCTTGGTAACACTTTGCATTGCTTTTCCTCCGAATTCTTGAAGACGCTTTTGTCTTTGTGGCTCTGTGCTTTATCATGCATATGCTCATTAGGAAACCACTCTAATTTGGGGGATAAAAGTGCCTTTTCAAGAATTATTTTTTGTATTGGTATTGCCTTATTGACAATGACCATCTGCCAGGACCTTTCACAGACAGCACACGTAACAGCGTTTATTTCCAATTATATCATGGAACTTACAAAAGACATGCTTTAGTCTAATAATTTAAACACGTTTGTACTCTCCAACTGTTTTGGCATATCTGCCCAGAGCTCGCGTGGTGGAGTCTCTTGACTTACTTGATTTCTCTCAAGACGGAATCATACTAATTGTAAGCGTGTTACGGTTGTGAAATATAAGTGTCTTTTCAATGCATACACCGTCTTTCGTGGGCTTTGTAACATTGAATCCAAGTGAATGATGTCAAGGCCTCGTAATTGTGGCAGTAGTGGCACGCTTCATGGCATCGTGGCATGCCACGAGCTTCTCGGCGCAACTAGCGTTGGAAAACGAAACTATCAGTAGTAACCCCGCCGTTTACCAACTTATTGGAATCACATGTAAAAAAGAGGATATGCACAGAAAAATAAAAATAAAATTATAATTAAAAATAACATCAAACTTTCTTAAATGTAGTTATGTAAATCTTGCCTAATTGTATTTCATGTGTAAAGCGTAAAAGCGTTCAGGGTGACTTTGACTCCCTAGTGCTCTTTTGCGGCGAAGTGGTCAGCTGCGTGAAGGGGTGGAGAGCGTCATGATACCCATGCCACGGTTCCTGGTGGTGGAATCGACCTTGGCATCACAGGAGTATGTAGTTGGCTGCCCGGGAGACGCCGCGACCTAGGCACTGATGCTAATGCTGCCGTGATGCTGCGACCTTCCTATAAGCCAGGGTTACCCAAATGGCGGCCGCCCGGCCGCATGCGGACTTGAGTGCTAGTTACTGTGACTCGCGAAAGTTTATTAGTCCAAAGTGAATATCTTTTGTGACCACGTCGGTCGAGAACAGTGTGCGTCTAGCGCACGCTTCCTGACATCAACACCTCTTAATGTAAAAATTTTGTTTAAGTTAAAAATTAACAATTATGTTTTCTACTAAATTCAGGAAACCAAAATCACCTCAATGTGTGTCACTGCGTTATTCATGGGAAGCCACGTATGGTTACATTCTCCAATCTCCCATTTTCGAGCAGCCAGGCAAACTGTCGACAACAATACGAGGAAGTCCAGTGTGGATCCCTCGAGTAATGAAAATATGACCCGCTACCATATTGGTTTTAGTTGTCATCCATGATGTCTTACGTTGTCTATTGGAAATGTCCCGAGAATGAGAAATGCAGTTTGCCCTGAGGAAGATCGCAGAATGGCCGCCGAAACGTTAGCAACTGTGTCTAGAGCGCGGCGTCTCCCGAAAAGCCAAATAGATACTCACTCCGGTCGCGGAAGCGCTCATTTTCATAAGTAGAATTAAAACTACAGGGCTCCAAATATTTTGTGTTCCCTTGCGCGCATGTTAATACATTAATCTGCAGATTGGGAGGCATTTAACAACATACCTTTTTCTCGCTTCAGCGACGCTCAAAACCTACTTTTGGATACGTTCGAAGCTTTAACATCTCCAGAAATAATACAAAATGGGATTGTCAATAGAGCACGAAACATTCACAAAAATAAACATACATCAATTAATCTCTCAGCGTAGTCTCTACATAGGGGAAGTACAATCGCAAATCCGGGATCTAGCAAAGTTGAGAATATTCGTTAAAGAGCTTGCAATCTATTTTTAATGGGAGAAATCGTAACTAAAATATGAGTATTGCGACCGAACAAATGCGTTTCTCTAAACCTTCGCAGGTAGAAGCCGTCAGCTCTGAACAGTGTGTCCGCGTTCGAGTCAAGGTGTACGACAACACAACAGCGATATACAGCCAAGATGTGGAAATCACTTCAGGAGAAGGGATGTTCGTTGTGCCGGCCATACTCGCCGACAGCGAAGTAATCACTTTGCAGGTGAGGCAATACACTTGTGGTTCTTTCTTCCTGCTCCTTTTTAATTTTACGTAATATAGTTTATAAAGAAATCCGTATTGGAGTAAATACAATATTTGCACTTTGAAAGACGTAAATAATTTCATTGAGATCATGCAACTATCGCACTCTGGCATTAGCAGAACTCGTCGTTCTTCTTGTTCAAATAATATGTAGTAATCAAATAAACAAAAAGTGAAAGTGTTTCAAAACTATAAATATGCAAAAATTACTCAGAAATTACACATTTCGCTATAGTTTTTCTTTTCAAGTTATTGGCGTATTCCGAAACGCCTTCTAAATTATATTTAATTGTGTGTTTGGTACTATGAGATTATTATGTGTGTATTATTATTGTGTGCTATTAAACTTTTGTGTATATTTTGGAAACGTTTTACTATTGGCGGTTTTTTTCTGAAAAACTGTCATTACTGAAAGAGAACCTGGTATGCATGCCGTTGCTGTGAGAATTAACAGCCGCTGACCACCATCATTTGTAGACTCAGAATTAGAATTTTGTGTGAAATCACAGGCAGTGCATAAAACGTAGAGGGTGGAAAATATAGCTATCTACATTTGAAAAGATGAGGAAAGTGTAGCGCACGAAACGAAAATAGTACACGGCATCAAAGTAAACTGTGAAATTGTTTTAAGTGGTCAAGAATTAAATAATTTTTCCCCTCACTATATCAGAAAAATTCCATATTTTGTATATGAATTTCCTTCAGTTTTGGTTGTTCAAAACTATTTCTTTTTAATTTGGGTTAGAACAATAAAAACATAAGAGGATTTAGATCATAACATAAGGGCATTTATATCATAATAGAATGCAATTCATACAAAACACGATTTTTTGTCTGCGATGGTCGAGCTGAAGGCGGGACCACATTAAATGGGTTGTCCCTAGTGATTGATGAAGATAATTGTTTCCCAAGAGCGGAAGTAATTTCGTTAAAGTGTCGGACGTGCTGTCAATGTGTTGCGCAAGTGATGTTGCAGCGCCCCCTCGTGGAGGTTCCAGGCAAGGAAATGCGAGCCCTGGCGCACACAAGGTAGCGGAGTCGGTTATAAAAAATTCCAAAGACATGCATAGATAATAAAATGATAAGTGGGAGATTTCTGACATTATTGGAAGTTGCACGTTATTTGAAATAAAATATTTAGAACAATGGTTATTGTAATTATCAACGGGGAAATATTTCGTTTCTTTGAATTATAATGTGTCTGTGTATGATCATTAAAGTAGATCATTGGATGCCATTGGTAGTGGTAAGTATTTGAAACTAGTTTTAGTTCTGTCAATGAATGGTGGAAAACGTGAAGAAAATACAAAAATAAGTAATTTAATGGTAAGTGTTCATAACAGAAAGTGAAGGATTGATGGTTTTTTTGTTATAAATGTAGGGTTTCATGTATTTCACCCATTTGAGTCCAATGTAGTTTTTGCACATACCGCTCGTCCATTGTTTTCGCGTCCGTGAGCGCGAAAATTGTTGGATCTCGCTGGTAACATGTATTTGGAAATTTAGGGCTAGTCCATTGCTGTGTTGGTAAATTCTACTGCCAGGGCCCTCTAAAGCATCAAACGGTGATTAGAAATGACCATTTGTTTCTAGAAAAAGTAACAAAACCCTTGGATTTTAACTCCATATGCCCTGTCAACTTGAGGGCGGACCATTCACGATTTGGTTCCCTCCGGCCTCACCCTCCGACTTAACCACAGGAATAGAGCAGCTAAGCACGATTTTAGATGAAGACTAGAACCGACGCAAGTCATAAATACATTTTGGTCAGGGGCTTTAGCAATCTCGGCTAAATCGACATCTATTGAAGTCCCAAAATTCGCAAAAGAATATACGAGATAAGAAAACAACCCCTTGAATTTGACTGTTCATTTTTTTTGGAGTGTGGGTTCTAATGCATTAAATGAATGTTTTGTTGATTGTAATTTTCGACATTCAAATGTTGGTTTCAACCCAGGTTCAAGAAAAGATTCTAAACCCTCGGTTTCAAAAGACAGTTTCTTACACGCGTATAAATACGCGCCGATGGCACCTCATGACGTGTGCGGTCACAATATAAACTAGTCATTAGAAATATAGAATACGTTAACGGGTTACGAAAGTGGTTGTATAAAGGATACACACAAGTAATTTACACTTATCAAATTTCTAAAGACACATTTTACTCTTGCTGTGATCGAACACCAGAATAACGGTAAAATACATGATGTTGAATTTCTACGAACAGAACGCGGCAGAGGTTGAAGACACATTTCCTGGTATTCTACGAATTGGATCGGACCACAGCGCCAACTTCATTTTATAGAGCCATAGAGGCCATTGATCTCAAGGTAGAAACCCCTCCTTTCACTTTGTGTGGCGTTTACAGGCAGCCCCCCTCCCCCTGGTGGGAAACACGACGAATGCAGAACGAGGCATGTGCTGCGGCCGTGTGGGCGCCGTCTGCCAACTCAATCTCTCTGGCTCTCAATCTGGTGCTCAATCGCGTAATGCAACTCCTTCTACGACCAACAAAACCACACGTTCATGAGACGCAAGCATTGAAAATGGTACTTCTTTTCATCACGGAGGATAATGGAGATTTCTTCGCAAAAAACGTCCTAGCAATTTTTTACATATAAAGTGGATATTTTTTGGGTTCATTAGTGAGACATAAAAACGAATAAATGTTCAATAAAAAAATTATAAGTTTCTGACTTTCAAAAATTTTTTTAGCTTTCATCCGAAGGAAAAATATGTTTTGAGTACTAACTAGGGTGACATAGATTTGAGTTTCTGTTTTAGAGAGTAAAATCCGATTGTTTATTAGGGGATTGAAGAATCCGAGTGAATGTTCAATGCTATGCCTACGCACACGATTCTTCCGATTCTCCGCTCAACCTATGTCCAATTCAATTCAATTCAATTCTGCCTTACTTTCCGTGGCGAGACTGAGGTCATGAGGTCTCTTCTTTCATGCAAATTCCGATACGATTCTTTCACCATCCGGCAGAAAAAGGAGGTATCTCTCGAGCGACGAAACTGGCAATTTTAATTATATCAAAGGCTTTCTCTAGGCTTGAGGATCTTTCATCTGTACTTGCTGTAAATCTACAAAATGGGACAGTTGACTTAGCGTCGCCTGCGAGGAAAAGCGTACGAAAGATTTTTTCGCCCTTAAAAATTCACATCTTAAATCGCGTTTAAACCAGAGTTGTGCCGTACACTATAATTTTACATCTACGAGTGTTGTCTGCACGTAACCTATATGTAGTCAACATTCCTCTTTTTAGTGTATACTACATAGAAAACGTCTTCTGTGTAGACTATTTTGCCATATCGGATAAACCAAACAAGTTTATAATAGTAGAAGCATGTTGAAAGGTAATATTCGAAATTTTATTTTCAATTCAATAAGTGAAACAAAATGTACCGTACTCCTGATGAAGAAATGACAACCTTCGTAACCATTTCATGAAACCAGTAGGAACTTGTTTTAATTTGTACATCAGACGACTCCCCATCTGACTCTTACCTACCAAGTGCAGTGTCACCAACTTGATGCGTACAAATATTGTGCAGATCCCTGTTCATGTCGTCAGCGTCTTTGTCCCCCCGCAACAGACGTCCCCGATATGAATTTCACAGAAGAGGAATACAATTCCAGTCATTACTGTCACCCGCACCATAAATATTTTTGAAGCAAAACAATGTTAATTTGATATTTAAAAACTGTTTATTCATAATGTTGGAACTGCTTTGTATGTTATCCAATCAATATGTAGTATTTTTTTGCATAAATTGAGTGTACTTATACCCAATTTATTAATATTTATTAACAACAATAAATGTTGCCTTTGGGGACGGAGCATGGCCCACGTAGATTCACCCTTGCCCCACAAAAAAGATAGATTACCTTTGTCTACGCAATGTACTTGTCTGCACGTTGTTTAGGCGTAGACGTAGACTATGGTTCTTTACGCCTAGAGGTACATCACTGGTTTGAACCCCAGAACGAGGGTGCAATAGTTACATCACCGAAGCCACGAATGTCCTCCCACACCTTTTCACTTCTCGCGAGGTCATTAGTTGTATCTGATGTCATGCCTTAGAGTCAGAATGTAGCGTCTATAAATTGGAAGTGCTGTCAATTCGTTTCCATAAATGTGAATTTTGTTTCCTGAGTAGGACGAGTGGGAAATCCATAAATCTTCCTTATTCTGGAAATCCCTCTCGAAGCCAGCACCTCGCTCGCCTTTTCCTCACTCTCCCACTTCAATCTCCTACTAATCAAACTTCATTTTAAGGTAGGAAATAGTGCAACATTTTTTTCATTTTTGTACCTTTCGTCGCAGGTACTTTTCGTATATTTTCTTGGTGAAAACTTCTCCCCACTGGGCGAGGGCTCTGCGCCACCTGGCGAGGCTGACGCCCTCCTCCTCCTCCTCTTCCTCTTCCTTCTTCATTTTTATTTTCTCGCCTTACTTTACAAGAAGGGAAAATTGTGTAATGGTGAGCCGAATAATACCAAAGTTTCGACAGAAATATTACTAATTTCCGGACCCTGTTGGCGAGAAAATAGATAAATATTGTTCCTTAATATAGTAAATTACTTCTTCTAACACGATGTGTAGCTAGAATTCATTGTTTTGTGGGTTACCGACAAATCGATTGGCGGCAAAACTTTTGTCTGTCGTCTGTGATCTACCTAAATCGTTCTGGCGATTTTCTCCAAAATTCATATTTCCCAATCGATTTAAAGGAGTACAAGATCCTGCCAGTTTCAACGGGGCATTTTAATTTTGGGAGATTCTGAGTTCTCAATTACATTTTAAAATTATTCTGAATAAACCCTTTTTATTTTTCAATAATACTTTGTTCTGGAATAGCGTAAACAACGCTTAAAAGAAGAGCACATATCTAATTTTCGTCGACTTCTCTGAATTTTCGAAAATTACAACAGTTATAAATAATAGAAAA